CTCAATCTAATCATGAGAGAATTACTAAACAAATCCCAGCTGAAGGAGACTCTACCAAATACCAATGAACCATAGTCTTCAAAACTGACAAGACCTTCAAAAGCAAGGGAAGACTGAAACTCCCGCTGTGGGCACAAGGCCAGAGGATTGAATGCAATGTGGGGTGCTGGCTTCGGGTCAGAAACATGACTCAGTGAAAGTGAAGGGAGTCTGAACACAGCATGGACATGAGTTAGACGTGATGCAGTGTGTAAGCTATTTACTGTAACGAGCCTACCACATTAATGCCGCCTGTATGATGTAGATTAACAATAGATGAAATTGAGTGCGAGGTATATGGGAATAATTGGTACTATTGTTTTCATTTATAGTATTTTTAAAGGTTAGTTATATACACATAACAAATGCAACATTTCAAAGTATACGTTTCCATGATTATCAGCATATTCTATGCTGTGCAACCATGATAACTATCTGACTCCAGAACATTTCAGTGAACACAAGATGAGCTACTTACTAGCATTTAGTCTCATTTTCTCCCTTCTTCATCCCTTTTTACCCCATGGCAGTCACTAATTGACCTTCTAGCTCTATACATTTCATATTTCATATGATGGAACCATAGAATATCTGGTCTTCGGGGTCTGGCTTCTTTTACTTAGCATAAGGTTTTCAAGGTTTATCCATGTCGTAGCATTTAACAGTGCTTCAGTCTTTTTATGACTGAATATTATTCCATCATTAAAGATATACCACTTTGTGTTTATCTATCGATCAGCCGATAAGCACTTAGGTCGCTTCCACTGTTTATAAATTTTTTAATACATTTTATAAATAAAATAATGCTGCTATGAAATTCAATTACAAGTTCTTGTATGGAGGTATGCTCTCATTTCTTTTTCTTTCTTTTTTTTTTTAGATTTTATTTGCAAAACAGAGAAAGGGCACAAGTGAGAGAGCAAGAATATGCTCTCATTTCTCTTGGATTCGTAACTAGGAGTGGAATTGGTGGCTCAACCATAGGATAATTCTGTGCTTAATTTTTTGAGGGATTGCACAACTGCTTTAAAAGCTGACTTCACCAATTTATATTCCTACCAGCAATTGGCACAAGGATTCCACTTTCTCTGCATCCTCACCAACGCTTTTTATTATCTGCCTTTTTAATTCTAGTTATCCTACTGAGTGTGAAGTAATCTCTCATGGTAGTTTTGGTGGCATTTCCCTGTGGAACATCTTTGGCCAATCTTTGCTTATTGGCCATTGTAAATCTCCTTTGGAGAAATCTCTAGTCAAATCTTTGTCCTATTTTTTTTTTTTTAATGAATTGTCTTTTTTTTTTTGGGTGAGTTGTAAAAGTTATTTATACATTCCAGACACTAAGACTGTGTCAGATACATGATTTTTCAAATGTCTTATCCCATCTATAGGGTTTGTCTCCTCACTTTCTTGATAATGTTTTTGACACACAAATTTTTTTATTTGATGAAGTCCAATCTATTTTATCTTTGATTACTGTGTATTTGGTGTCATATCTAAAAGACATTGCTTAATCTAAGGTTATGACATTTTTCACCCATTTCCTTCTAAGCACTTAATAGTGTTAGCTTTTAAATACATATCTTCGATCCATTCTGAGTTATATTTATTTGCAGTGTATGGTAGGGCCTCCAAATTTATTCTTGTGCTTATGGATATCCCATTGTACTAACACCATTCATTAAAAAATACCTGCCTCCACTGAATTGGCCAAAACTCAATGAACCACACTGCACTGGTTTGCAATATTGTGCTAGATCTAAAACTGTTCTAAAAGAAACAGAAAAGGTATCTAAAAAAAGCCCCTTGGGATTTCTATCGGAGTTTTTCCTATAAGTAAATTTAGAAATAATTGACATAGAAATAGTAAGGTTACTATTTCATGAACATGGAATAACTATTTACACAGGTTTTTAATTTCTCCCAGAAATGTTATTTTTTAGTTCTGTATATAGAGATCTAACATTCTGTTTTCAGTTCAGTTTATTTGAAGTAGTTTAAGTTCGTTGGCATCATTAAATTGTTTTTAGCATGCCATTTGAATTAATTGATGCTACTAAAATATTATCTAGTAACTAGTAGATTTACCTAGTTTTAGTAGTTGTTATGAGGATTCCTTAATATTTTTGACAATCAGATATTCTGCAAATAGAGAAAGTTTTATTTCCCTTTTTCAAGTTATCATGCCTTTTTAAAATCTTCTCAGTTTCAATATTTAAACACTTTAAGACAATATAGAACAGATTTAACAAGTACCACTGACACATTCCTAGTCCGAGAAGGAAAGTATTCGACATACAAATGGTTAACGTAATTTAATTGTAATTATTCAGTGTGAAATTCTGATTTAAGATCACTAAAGAACTATTAAAAATTCACATTTAGAGGTTATCAGATAAAACTTCCAATTAAATATCATAGAAAATATCACTTCAGTTTGGCTAGATAACTTAATAAGATTTGAGAATTTTTTTTAAAGATTTTATTTATTTATTCATGAGAAACACAGAGAGAGACGCAGAGATACAGGCAGAGGGAGAAGCAGGCTCCATGTAGAGAACCCGATGTGGGACTTGATCCTGGAACCACGGGATCACACCCTGAGCCAAAGGCAGATGCTCAATTGCTGAGCCACCCAGCATCCCAAGATCTGAGAATTTTTAAATGAAAATTTCCTTTTATTGAAATATGTATATATAATTCCATAAACAAATGAAACATTACAATTTTTAGAAAGGAAAATTGAATTGTCCTTTTTTTAAAGATTTTATTTGTTTGAGAGAGAGAGAGAGAAGATCAAGAGAGAGAGCAGGAATGAAGGGGCAGGCAGAGGGAGAGGTAGAAGCAGATTCCCACTGAACAGGGAGTCAGATATGGGACTCGATCCCAGAACCCTGAGATCATGACCTGAGCCAAAGGCAGATGCTTAACCAGTGAGCCACCCAATCGCCCCTGAATTGTGCTTTTAAATGTGAATATTAATTTCTTACAATTAAATGTATAGGGACTTCTATAAAATTGCATTGAATTTGATATTATATTGAAACTTAATTTATAGGCTCATAAATTATAAACATGAATTCAATACAGTTTAGACCTACACTTAAAATGTTACTCTAATGGTTAAATATCTTTACAGATATAACACAGGCAAGATACACAAAAAGGTAATACAAAAATAGAAACCTAAAATAAGTAGCACAGCGCAGTGTTGTACAGAGCATGGACTGACTGTAGGACAATACAGCCTCAGTGAAATTTCCCTGGTAAACTTGGGCAAATTACTTACTCTGTGCCTGAATTAGATCATTATAAAATAAAGATAATAACTGTTCTATGTAAAGATAATAATTGCTTTAGTTGTTGAGAGAATTAAGTTATGAGTGTGTACACACGTATATAAAATACTAACAAGGGTAAATGATACATAGTAATTACTATATAAAGGTATTAATTATTGATATTCTTAAAATATCCACATACTAATTAATTTACTTAAACCTCAATAAGGATCAAAGGCATTCATATTAACATATTAGATGCCAAGTTCTCATGCACAGTTGCAAAATTTCAGAATGCAGACCATTCTGTATATAATTTTGGATGTCGCTGTCAGCACAAATCATGTTCATTTCCCCTCAGTTTCTGCTTATATTCCATGGCTGTTGTTTTAAATTTGTGCCTTCCTGATTTTTGATGACTAAAATATATTTTGCTATTTATGTCAACTCAATGTATTCAACTTCTACCAAGGAAAAGTAAGATGCAAAGCCATCACAAGCAGGGTTAATATAATGATAACCCCTTAAAAGTTACTTAAAGCAACCACTCCATGGTTTTTAGGATGATTTCCCACCATATCCTACATCACAATTTATGGGCTCAATTTTCTCTTTTATATTTGATAAATATATCACAGCTTATTCAATTAAACTCCCAAAGTTTATAAGAATATAAAATGTTTCTCTACATATCATTTATTTATCTTGCCCTGATTGCTTTAAATATTTATATTATCTCAAAACCATTTGGACATGAAAAATTAAAGCATTCAACACTTTGTAATTGTAATTAGGGGCACAGAGAATTAATATGAAGGTAGCATTCAACAGGGTAGCTGATCTTGACCGTGTGCCAGAACTGTGGTTAACATAGTGAAATAGAATTTTCTCAGGCCATTTTGTCAGTATTTTTCAAACCCTGGGTTGTGACCCTGTGTCAGCACAGAGTGTGCGATCACAATTTTTACATGAAATGATAGTTACTATTTGGTTAACTTTGTCTACATTCTGTGGATAGGAAATAGTGTTGAGGGATTGGGGAGACCTGAAAAGTGTGAATGTTTCCTAAGGGCTTATTTTGCTTAGGGCCACAGGATTTGGATATTGATATTTTAAAAGTAGATATTACTATGATCACACTATACCTTGAAATCTACTCCGTTAGCTACATTTCAATTGTTTCTGTAAATATAGGCTATGTGAGGTAACTTAACCTTCGCTTAACGATGTCAGACCAATGCTCAGGTTCAACTTTTTTTGTTTGTTTATATTAAAAATGAAAGAGAATTAGATCAGTTTATTTTGAGTCTACTATTATTTCTTGGCATCATTTTAATCATAGCATTCCGGAACCAACATTATTATCACACGCAAAGGAAAACTGCAATTATTTGAGGGTTGAGAGGATAGAGAGAAGAATACTATAGCAATCTTTTTTCTTTAAATATTTGCTTCTGCTCTGCAAGACTGAGATTCAGAAATGTCCATCTGATCTTGTTTATTACTTTTTTTCATGTAATACAAACTCTCTTCTTAATGCCCTAGCATATGAGACAAATATTATCTCTTACCTACCACCCCTGTCCCATCACTCATAGACACACACTCTCATTCTATGGTCTATAATGTGGCCTCTGTGGTCTAATCTCACTGAAGTCTTTTTTTTTTTTTTTTTTTTTTTAGGGGAAAACAAGATAGCAGTCCTCCATTGCCACAAATTATATAGTCTACTATCCCACATTTGGGGAAATCACAATTTCAGCATATTCAGAGTGCAGTGGGTAAGCATCGCCCTGGGAAAACCACTTTCTTTATCATGGTATCTCCCCTGCCCGGTAAATATCATGGAATTCCTTTTATATTATATTCCTGTATCCATGTATTTGCTCAAACTATTCATTCTAGAATATCCTTTCCCCTATTTTTACTCGATGACTTCTCCGTATATATCTTTGAGAAATTTTTTTAATTTTCATTTAAAATATGTTGGCATGTTGAGCATCTGTGCAATACTTAGGCTTGTTAAACAATGAATACCAAGATGTGTAAGTTAACTTCAGTGACAGGTATAGGGAGTGTAGTAGAAAAAGCATTTCAAAATCAGATAGAAAAATATATTTAAATAGCCTTCTAACTTTCTTCAAAATTAAACAGAAAAATATAATTAAGTGCCTCTTCTAATCCATTTAACTGCCTAAACCTATGTAATCTTGGACAAATTCCTTAATTTCTATGAAAACCATATACCCATTAGTAAATTTTAAATTATAAAAGAGCAATTAGTAATAATTAAAGTAAAATTTTAAATTGATAAATATGCAGTTATAATTTTCAAATATATTAATTAAAATATTGCAACACTGTATCTTTCTTATACTAGCCTGAATATTCACAGAATTTAAATATACTTCCTAAACCAGTTGAAACATAAATGGTTTAATAATAGAAATAAATGATCAAATTGAAGCCACAAAATTTGATTTTAATAATTAAGAGTTGTGACCAACATATATTTTTTAAATTAAACTCTTAGCAGGAATTTTATTCCAGTGATAAAAGGGTCTATGCTTGCTTTTACCTTGAAGCAAAGGATATTTATTTTTTCATTTACTTATTTCAAAGTGAATTAATATTTCACAGTTAAATAATCATATCTTGTTCTATATATTATATATGAAAACTTAACTCTATAAAATAATTATGACTTCACTGGAATATTATTCATGAATACTTACTATTTTTCTATGCATTTAAGAAAAATTACACTATTTTTTGTAAATGTATTAACTCAAACCTCCAGTTGCAATTTGGGGCTTGCTGGTTAGTTCTTAAACTACCAGCAAACATACAGCGAACCATCCTAAATGCCATAATGTAGTCAGTAAATTCATTTGTATTTAATTCACGCACAGCTTTTTTCTAGAATGTCGGTTCTAATTAGAAAAAATACAGATAATGAATACTTTGTGATTATTGATTATGAAGGCATTTAGTTAAATGTGGCCTATGAAGTGCTCATTCACATTATATACAGAAGTTCAAAGAAAGGTAACTTAGAGTCGAGAGCATATTTTTTTTCGTCACCAGTGTTTTAACTACTTCAAACTAAATTTAAAATTATTGTCTTTTAGAAAAGACTTTATATCTTTTGAACAATCTAACAACAATTAGGAAAGATATTTCTTGGAAACTGTCTAAAGTATTTGTCTTTATGGCTTGTTGACATAAATGCCAAGAGAAATATTCTGTATTCTCTATTTATATCCTAGTGGATACCTGATTGTAATGTCTGCCAAATATTTCTGCCAAATTACAACCTTGTGAAGTTCAAGGATGTTAATTATTTTATTTGTTATTTTTGTATAATAGAAGCTATAATTTTGCATTCAGTTGAGTAGCTTCGAAGAAGACTCAAACCAACGCGTATAATTATGATTCACTCACACACACACACACACACACACACACAATTTATTACTAAAAAGGTATTGCTAATATCTTTTTTGAGCACAGTCTCACACCTTAAAATTTTGTCTCGAATTCTTAGAAGAATGTATTTGTTATTGACAGTCACAACTGAGGAGATAGCTAATTAATATTGTTTAAGTGATGTTAGGGAAATTGTATAGGTGGTAAAGTAGCATATCCCAAGAGTGTGTTAAAAATATAACAAATAGAGGAGGGGCAAGATGGCGGAAGAGCAGGGTCCCCAAGTCACCTGTCCCCACCAAATTACCTAGATAACCTTCAAACCATCCTGAAAATCTACGAATTCGGCCTGAGATTTAAAGAGAGACCAGCTGGAATGCTACAGTGAGGAGAGTCCCCGCTTCTATCCAGGTAGGAGACGGGGAAAGAGAAATAAAGGAACAAAGGCCTCCGAGGGGGAGGGGCCCCGCGAGGAGCCGGGCTGAGGCCGGGGCGAGTGTCCCCAGGACAGGAGAGCCCCGTCCCGGAGGAGCAGGAGCTGCACCAACCTTCCCGGGCGGGCGGAAAGGGGCTCGCAGGGAGCTGGAGCAGGACCCAGGAGGGCGGGGATGCCCTCGGGCTCCCGGGGACACTAACAGGCACCTGCGAGCGCAGGAGAGTGCACCGAGCTCCCTAAGGCTGCAGCGCGCACCGGAGCAGCTCGGAGGGGCTCGGGAGCGGCTCCAGGGAGGGGCTGCGGGGCGGGAGCGCAAATCCACCAGCGCAGGCCCCGGAGCACAGGGCGCGGGGACACAGCCCAGGATCCGGCCTCCCCCGGGACAGGCAGAGGCCGGGAGGGCCCAGGACAGCGAGGACGCTCCTGCCCCGAGCTGAGCAGATCAACGGCCCCGCCCCGGAGCCTCCAGGCCCTGCGGACGGAGAACCGAGAGCCCCGAGCCCCGTAGTTCCTGCGGAGGCTGAATCCAGGCTTCCAGAGTTGCCATAGCAACTGCGGCTGTTCCTCCTGGGGCCTGGCGGGGTAAACAACCCCCGCTGAGCCCTGCAGCAGGCAGGGGCAGAGCAGCTCCCCCAAGTGCTAACACCTGAGAATCAGCACAGCAGGCCCCTCCCCCAGAAGACCAGCTGGACGGACCAGTGATACTCCCCCGTGTTCCAATACAACTTGTTTTTGGCCACTCTGCACTGAGCAAAATGACTAGAAGGAAAACCTCACCTCAAAAGAAAGAATCAGAAACAGCCCTCTCTCCCACAGAGTTACAAAATCTGGATTACAATTCAATGTCAGAAAGCCAACTCAGAAGCACTATTCTACAGCTACTGGTGGCTCTAGAAAAAAGCATTAAGGACTCATGAGACTTCATGACTGCAGAATTTAGATCCAATCAGGCAGAAATTAAAAATCAACTGAATGAGATGCAATCCAAACTAGAAGTCCTAACGACGAGGGTTAACGAGGTGGAAGAACGAGTGAGTGACATAGAAGACAAGTTAATGGCAAAGAGGGAAACTGAGGAAAAAAGAGATAAACAATTAAAGAACCATGAAGACAGATTAAGGGAAATAAATGACACTCTAAGGAAGAAAAATCTACGTTTAATTGGGGTTCCCGAGGGCGCCGAAAGGGACAGAGGGCCAGAATATGTATTTGAACAAATCCTAGCTGAAAACTTTCCCAATCTGGGAAGGGAAACAGGCATTCAGATCCAGGAAATAGAGAGATCCCCCCCTAAAATCAATAAAAACCGTTCAACACCTCGACATCTAATAGTGAAGCTTGCAAATTCCAAAGATAAAGAGAAGATCCTTAAAGCAGCAAGAGACAAGAAGTCCCTGACTTTCATGGGGAGGAATATTAGGGTAACAGCAGACCTCTCCACAGAGACCTGGCAGGCCAGAAAGGGCTGGCAGGATATATTCAGGGTCCTAAATGAGAAGAACATGCAACCAAGAATACTCTATCCAGCAAGGCTCTCATTCAAAATGGAAGGAGAGATAAAGAGCTTCCAAGACAGGCAGGAACTGAAAGAATATGTGACCTCCAAACCAGCTCTGCAAGAAATTTTAAGGGGGACTCTTAAAATTCCCCTTTAAGAAGAAGTTCAGTGGAACAATCCACAAAAACAAGGACTAAATAGATATCATGATGACACTAAACTCATATCTGTCAATAGTAACTCTGAACGTGAACGGGCTTAATGACCCCATCAAAAGGCGCAGGGTTTCAGACTGGATAAAAAAGCAGGACCCATCTATTTGCTGTCTACAAGAGACTCATTTTAGACAGAAGGACACCTACAACCTGAAAATAAAAGGTTGGAGAACCATTTACCATTCAAATGGTTCTCAAAAGAAAGCAGGGGTAGCCATCCTTATATCAGATAAACTAAAATTCACTCCGAAGACAGTAGTGAGAGACGAAGAGGGACACTATATCATACTTAAAGGATCTATCCAACAAGAGGACTTAACAATCCTCAATATATATGCCCCGAATGTGGGAGCTGCCAAATACTTAAACGAATTATTAACCAAAGTAAAGAAATACTTAGATAATAATACACTTATACTTGGTGACTTCAATCTAGCTCTCTCTACCCTTGATAGGTCTTCTAAACACAACATCTCCAAAGAAACGAGAGCTTTAAATGATACACTGGACCAGATAGATTTCACAGATATCTACAGAACTTTACATCCAAACTCAACTGAATACACATTCTTCTCAAGTGCACATGGAACTTTTTCCAGAATAGACCACATACTGGGTCACAAATCGGGTCTGAACCGATACCAAAAGATTGGGATCGTCCCCTGCATATTCTCAGACCATAACGCCTTGAAATTAGAACTCAATCACAAGAAGAAGTTTGGAAGGACCTCAAACACGTGGAGGTTAAGGACCATCCTGCTAAAAGATAAAAGGGTCAACCAGGAAATTAAGGAAGAATTAAAAAGATTCATGGAAACTAATGAGAATGAAGATACAACTGTTCAAAATCTTTGGGATGCAGCAAAAGCAGTCCTGAGGGGGAAATACATCGCAATACAAGCATCCATTCAAAAACTGGAAAGAACTCAAATACAAAAGCTAACCTTACACATAAAGGAGCTAGAGAAGAAGCAGCAAATCGACCCGACGCCCAGCAGAAGAAGAGAGTTAATTAAAATTCGAGCAGAACTCAACGAAATTGAGACCAGAAGAACTGTGGAACAGATCAATAGAACCAGGAGTTGGTTCTTTGAAAGAATTAATAAGATAGATAAACCATTAGCCAACCTTATTAAAAAGAAGAGAGAGAAGACTCAAATTAATAAAATCATGAATGAGAAAGGAGAGATCACTACCAACACCAAGGAAATACAAACAATTTTAAAAACATATTATGAACAGCTCTACGCCAATAAATTAGGCAA